GTTGTCTTTAGAATTCAAGGGTGGAAAAGGTTGGGTGTCCCAACACTTTTGCCCAGGATTGCAGATTATTTGCACAATTTCACGATTTAGTCATACTGATAACATGAAAATCCTTCTGCCATTCTATACTTGGCATAATCTCTACATCAATAGTTCACCAGTTCACTAATATAAATTCAATATAATTTTGAACCAGTCCATATATTATTATACACAATGTAGTATAGTTAATTTGACCATTGAGAAGTAAGGGTGTATTTCATTACACAGACACTGCTGAATTTTAGGTTACATGCCATTGGATTGATATATAAAAAACACTTGTAAAACACACCCATTATCTTGTTGATAGAATAGTTATTTGCAGTATACTAACTGTTGGCATACTCTATTTCAGGACTATCAATTGTTTTTGTCACTGGCAGTCTTTGAAATACAATCTTGCTCTGTGGCCTTTACTGACAAGTTGGCTTTTACTATATATGTGGCACTGACACTTCTTTAATTAATGCACCAGTCAATGTAAACCCCCCAACCGGGGAGGGGCAGGGATTTTGACTTGGAGGGGTAGTAAAAGAGCGAAATTGTCTCCGCCCCCAGGGACATCAATGTCCCCTGCATGTCTCTCAACCCCAGCAAAATAGTTTTGTATAATCATAGATCAGCAATAGAATATCAAATTCATTTATGTTGTTGTATTTAAACTTTTCTTGTCAAGAAAACTAAAACAGCAACACAGGATATATATGTTAACCACCGTCCAAGTCTCCCATCATTGGGGACAAATTTACAATCAAAACTGACCACTTTCCCCGCTAAACCTCCCGCCCCTCCCGGTTGAGGGCTGGGATTTACATTGATTGGTGCATAACTAGATGATTGCATGAAGCATTGCATGGAAGTTGATTTATAATTAGTTTATGAATAAACTCACACTTTCATTATAATGGTTGATCGAATATATCAAATGCATTTGATTGGTTGATGGTCCTTTACTGGTAATCGTAGTCAAATCTGAACCTATATAATGTCAATATACTGGAAAAGTATCAAATTAAATTTTAATTGTCAATGTTGTGGAAAGTAAATAAATCAAACAATTCTGTTTGTTTCAACTAACTAGTTCACTATCACTTTGGTTTTCAAATCAAAGAATCTTTAGCCTGGTTGAGCTTTTGAAAAAGTAGCTGCTTGATTGAACGCAAGATTATTTTACTCTGTCTAACGCCAGACAATTTCACTTGTCAAGGGGGAATTGCTGCGACTCAGTGAACTCAATCAGAGCTCAATGAGCAGCAGCACTCTCCCTCGATAAGTAAAATCATCTGGCATTAGATGAGGTGAAATAAACTAGTAAAGTAGGGTGCATTGGGGCACAATGCAGCTTACTGGGTTAACTGGAAAATATATTTATTAAACAATACACACCCTATACTTGTATTTCAATTCACAGCATAATTTGGTATGCTTATGTCTATTTGACCCAACTATCTGACAGGAATGATATTTGAATCACACCTGTATTCATTGAACAAAACTAATTTAAATGTACATTAATTGTACATGAACCATGTAAATGTAAAAACTAGCTAGAGCAAAAACACACCCACACAGCTTTGTTTTTTATTTTTCTTGACAAGGAATAACTGAGTTACAATGAGACCAGTATCAACAATTTCAAAAAGGTATTGTATAAAAATATTACAAACATAAGACACTTTAAAGACTGAAAAAAACACGAAGTATGTCACTACAGAAACTGTATTCTGTGATATAGATGATGTTGCTTTAAAGAAACTTGCAGCTTTTAGCAGTTGTCTAAAGGCCTGTTTATATCAAAACGGGCTGGCTCGCTAAGTGAGACAGCCCGGTAAGTGAGATCTAGCTGTCTAGTTATTTTTATAGTAAAAATTATCATTTCTATGGACAAGCGGGCAGGCCTGGTTGCCAAGACCAGGATGGAAATTTCTCCACATAAACCATCATAAGCAGGTAATGATGCGTAAAATTATAAACGGCTTTAGACGGTGCTGGGACCCTCCCTGGTTAACCCTGCATGTACGTGGACAGGGGGGTTCGACATTCCCCTCCACTGGGGGCGTGTGAATTTCAGATCAATTGACTGTCAGTATTATGTATTGGCTGGTATGTGAGGCAATTAATATTATTCATTGGGCCCAACCCTCCCCAAACCAGGCAGAATCACAGGTGCGATGCATGCATATTTCCACGGGAGGAATATTGGAATTGTTTAATCTAATTAATCTCTTAATTCTTTCATTCATTCATCTCTAATTAATTGAGATCTAATTGATCCATTTCAGACCAATTATGATTCGAATTGGACACATGGCCGCCCTGGTCCTTTCAATTGGAGAGCTGCCCTCCCTGCCGCTGCTGGTACCGCTGAATTTTTATTAGCATATATTGGCCGCAACTTCGACATGTATCTCTGAACGCCTTCAACTCCTCGTCCCAAAGCGACTTTGCTGGGCTGCCGGATGATGTCTTGTCGCGAAGGGTACGTGTCACATACAGGGGCTTTCCCAGCCTAGTCCCAGTCGTTCTGAAGCAAGCGCGAGAAAAAAAGTGGATGTAGTACGAGACTGGGACCTAGAGGTGACGTCACCGCTAAAGGTGGTTCAGAACGCCTATCAGATTTCAGTATTTTTAATATGGCGGAAAATTTATACATACAAATAACCCTGTAAATACGACAATGTTAATTGATCATGTTCGACGTCTACATAACCAAATTCAAACTGTATTAAATATGTGCTCAATTAAAAAAATTATATACAAATTTACGATACTGAGTCTGAGCAATGGTCGTATAATCGTTGATGTTATTTATATACTCGCAAGTTGTGATCAACACTAGACCATACTGGTATACACAACTACACTTTCTACTTGACAGGTTTAAGTAGCTGAGGAGATTGGAAATATTTGCCTGACATGACTGTGTTGTCAAAACATTTTTAGTCGGAGACTCGCCATAATTTTCAAGCTTCTAGATAGCATTTAATGTGGCTTTATATTTTAGTAAACGCGAGTCATATTTAGCCCGTTATTCCATTCTGCGAAACGTAGCCTACTTCATTGTTCTGACAGCATTAGAGCAAAACTAATGACTTGTAATTATAAACGCAAAGGAAATTTCCATAACATTTTCTATTTACAAATGCGGTATGCTTGGTAACCAGGCCAGGGACCACTTTTTGAAATCAGGTACCATTTTACCAAAATCTGCTAGGCTCTCTCGCTGAAGCGTTCCGCACAGCACACCCAGGCATAAAACTTTTAAGACTTATTTAAATTAAATATATTAAAGTAGCGAATAGAGAGAGAGGCTGGGACTAGGCTGGGGCTTTCCATTATTTTCTGGCAACACCCTAAGGAGTAATATTAATTGCCTTGCATACAAACCAATACGTGCACGGTCACAAACTGCTTCCTACATAGATATGTATTTAGCCCTTTACCGGGCATTGTTGCCATATGGCAACAAAAAAATTACCTTTTACAGTAAAGCCACCTTAATACTGAAAAGACGTTTTACTTTGCTAACATGAAGTATTACACCTTATATTTTATTTCTTGTCCGCCATTTTGTTGAAATTCAATGGAAAGCATGTTTTTTCGTGTATTTAAAGGTGAGTATTTTACTGTGCTTTATTATCGTAGCATTATTCCTATGTATTGATAAGCTTAGTGTTCGATAGCTAAAGTGTTTTACCAAATAAATACGGGTGATAAATACATTAAAAATGTGACTTTTAAAATACCTGCAATTGTTTGGGGTTACAGTTTGACAATGTCGTTGCTTAGACAGTTCAAAAGTATTTGTTGCCAAATGGCAACAATGCCCGTTTAGGGTTACAATTTTTGTGGAATTAATGATATGTCTTTTAGCTTTTTTTGTCATTATTATACTACAGTGAGACCACATATCCATCTGCTTTCTTGTTGAGGTATAGAAAAATTGTTAATATTTGATAAATTATTAAGTCTGAGGCTGAGTACAAAAATTATCTTCAGAAAAAAAGTAAACCGACTGCCTTTACTTGGGTATATTATTTACTTTATTCTTATTTATAGTATAAATTGAACTTGTTGGCATCTAATGCTTGTATACCTGTAATACATCATGTTTAAAGCTAAATATTATATTTAACCTGCAGAGTGCTAATTATGGAAAAGCAGATAAAAATTCGATACGGCACTGAAAAGGCGATTCAATATATTCTGGCACCCGGTTCGGATTCTGAACTGTCAGAGCTTGAAGATGATGATGAATGTGTGCATGAAGTTGCAGCGAATGAATGCTGTGAGGCTGATAATCCAGAATCAGATGATAGTGATGTTGATGAAAGTGAAGAAACTACCCCAGTTTTCAAGTGGAATAAGAAGGAACCAGAAGCAATTGATGTATCCTTTTCAGGGGCAGAATTTACCCTACCTGATAATGTACATGAACTGAGCCCTTTTTCATATTTTAAGATGTTTTGGGATGACACTATTACCCAAAACATTGTTGAACAAACAGATTTGTATAGTGTTCAACAAACAGGCAGCAGCATTTCTACCACAAAGGATGAAATTGAAAGGCTGATTGGTCTGCAAATGAAAATGGGCATTGTAAAATGCCAAACTATGAACTTTACTGGGAAAAGGAGTTGCGTTATGAGCCAATTGCATCTGTTATGCCATCAAAGCGGTATAAGAAGCTGCGACAGTTTCTTCATGTAAATGACAATTCCAAAAAAGATGACCCAGACAACAAAGACAATCGTCTATATAAGGTGTTGCCAGTAATTGAAGGAGTTCGACAAAATTGTCTAAAGGTTGAGCCAGAGATTTCTCACTCTATTGATGAACAAATCATCCCAGCTAAGACTAAATATAGTGGAATTCGGCAATACAACCCGAAGAAACCAACTAAATGTGGATTTAAGAACTTTGTACAAGCTGGAAAAAGTGGTATGATCTATGACTTCTTTATTTATGCTGGTGCCAAAAGTACTGGTCAAGAGAAATGCACATCGGAGTCAGTCGTTTTAAAACTTTGTGAAAGCTTGGCAAAGAACTGCAACCACTTGCTATTTTTTGACAACTGGTTTGCAACATTACCTCTTATGTTGAAGCTGAAGTCTCTAGGCTATCCCACCACTGCAACAGTTCGAGCTAACTGGATTGCCAAATGCCCTCTCAAGAGCGAGAAACAGCTGAAGAAGGATGGTCGGGGTAGTTTTGACTACAGAACAGATGATACATCACAGCTTCACATTGTTCGATGGCTTGACAACAAATGTGTTCAACTGGTGTCAACCTATGCTGGTGTCAAGTCATCAAAAAAGGTGAAAAGATGGGATGGTAAAACCAAGAAACATGTTGACGTTACGTGCCCAGATGTTGTGTGCTAATACAATGAGTCCATGGGTGGTGCCGACTTGGCTGACAATGCTGATTGCTCTGTATCGCACAAAGATCAAGACGAAAAGGTGGTATCTTAAAGTTTTATTCCATTGTGTCGATATTGCCAAAGTGAATGCCTGGATTTTGTATCGTCGCCACTGTGATATGGGGAAGGTGCCAAAGAAGCAGCAGCAGGCACTCCTAGACTTCAACATAGCAATCGCTGAAAGTCTGATTAAGTGTGGCAAGTCTGGAATGACAAGGAAACGTGGTAGACCATCATTGGAAGAAGCTGAGTTGAGAGCAACAGCTGAGAAGAGAGGAAGAAAGCCAGACACGCCTTTGCCTGCCAAGGTTATTCGGTTAGACAGATCGCATCACTGGCCTGAGTATAAAGATTGAAAGAACCGTTGTCGGCATTGCAAACTTGGGTTCAGTAGAGTGTACTGTGACAAGTGCAATGTCTGTCTGTGTCTTAGCAATGCACGAAACTGCTTCAGAGATTTTCATACTTTGTGAACTAAGTAGTTGACATGATATTACTGTAGCATGTGCACAAATAGAAACTGTGGCTATGACATTTTCAATTGTTTATGCAGCACAATATTCATAACACCATTTTTAAGAATTAATAGAATTATCCTAGTTAGAATATGTACCTTATTAAATAATTTAAAGTTATTTGTGTGTACAATATATAAGTACAACAATCTTCATTTATTCTGCAGCTAAGACTCCCCCCGCCCCCCCCCTGTAACTGTGTAGCTCCCTGCTCTAAAATGGACCTGAAGACAATGCCACTTTGATAAAATGGATTTTCACTATTGCAGTTTGCATATTCTGGAAAAGCTGCATAAAACATACTAAACTACTATGCAGGATTTTCACTCAAATTATACCCCTAACTGGGCGGTGTTGCCATATGGCAACAAATCAAAAACGACTTACCCCCCTGTTTTCCCACATTTTTGCGTTTAACGTTATTACTGCACTACTTTTAAAGAACTTTTTGTGTGAGAACATTTTTTTAAAGATGTATTTCAAAATGTGCACAGTAAAGGGCTAATTAGAGAGCAACTTTTTAGACACAAGTTGGAATCATATTTTCAAGTTCATTTCAAATCTATACCTGCATGACTTTTACACAAGGGGCCCAGAGACGCCGCTCGTGATATAGATTTGAAATTAACTATATAGTTGTATATGTAAGTCAGTGTCGCTAATTATACCAAAAAATCTGTTTGTCTGTTAGAAAAAAAAAAGTCGAAGACATCCTGGAAGGCTAACCCTGATTTTGACACTATTTATTTGGGTTAAACACTGATTTCTAGTTACAGTAATATATACATAAAAAAATTGCTTTATTTAATTTCCATTGCGTTTTTCTATTCTTACTAATGACTTATACTAGTCTCTAATCTGTTGCTTTGTAAATTCTGTTGCAGACGGGTATGACGTGAAGAAATTGCCATTATTTAAGGCAGAGACGATTGATTTAATAGGCAAGTTCTCATCTCGTGGCAAATTGGCAACTGCTTCCTTAAACTTACTCTCTTCATCTGCAGTCATTTTCCTTCGACTACGCGTTGTTGCAAATTATTTGCTTGGTGATTGAAGTGATGGTGGTACACCCGTCTTGTTAGAGGCCGGCGAACAGCGAATTTCGCCTGCGCTCAGAAAAAAAACTAAAGCCATTCGCCGGAGGCTCTGAAAAATTCGCCAGCGCCTACAGTCTGTGCAGTTATGATAAGTTGTCAAGTTAACATATTAGCAGAGTATCAATAATTTATTAAATGTGCTAAACTATTCATTAGTTTTTATTATACGAATCTTTATTTTTTGCTGAAAGTTCGCTAAACCAGTAAACTTTAAATTCTTGCGTAATCAGTATAGTTATGTACATCGATGAACATACAGGGCTTTAATGGCGTCTTGTAGGGTACACTCTATTAGGGTATATGTTCTTTTTTGGTTAATTATGGATAATTCGGGTTTAATATCCAGCTGTTATTGCGTGATAATCCATGGTAAACATGGCGACCGTTAATGACAATGAATAAGATGTTTTCGCTTGGTTTTGGTTTCATTTGGAAGGTATTGTACAAAGAAAAGAACAATATTAAAAACTTTTTCCATTAAGTTATGTTTATCACTAGAATTCATTTCATTTATTCATATATTTAGTAAAAAATACAGGGAGAAAATGTCGTTCGAAAAAGTATGTATGTCTTGTGGAAACAACACATTCTATTCGTGCGTAAATTGCGATTCTGGCATTTGTAACCGCCCAAGTTGCAGCAAAGCCGTTGATATCACTCATCCGGCATATTCTGAAGGACATCCAAAAAAGATAAGTGAATGCAATACTTGCAGTTGCATCAAGAAAACAGTTCCAAAACAAAACCAATCAACAATAAAAGACTTCTTTGCCAAAAAGTGAGTACTTTACTCTTTAACTATTAAAATCATTTCAAACTTTTGAATTCGCCTGACTTAAACACTTTAATCATTGGATCTGATTCAATCGTTATAAATTTGCGTAGAGTGTGTTATAAAGTTGCCTGAATAACTTCATTTTTCCATAACGTGATTAAATGGATTTGCCCATTGACATAAACTAAAGACTAAATTGTTATGACTAATGTTATTATAAGTTCATAACAGGGCAGTCAGTCATTCATAAATATCCTCACTATCTGATTGGCTTGTTTTATGTTCTAGACCTTCCAACTCTAATGTGATAACTGCGCCCGATCCAGACCAACCATCAACTAGTAAAACAACCCCTTCAGTTGCAACGTAAGTTAAAGTTCTTCAATATACAGTCAAATAAATCATTGAGTCTTTGGAAATAATCCTTTAATATACTTTTAATTGTTATCTATTCTTCTTGCAAGTTGCAGGGAGTAAAACAAATCAAAACTAGTATCAGTAACATTGAAACATATTTTTCTTGTATACTATAGGAAACGTCCGTTGTCAAATAATCAAACAGAAGGTGAAGTTACCTCAAAAAAGCCGAAGATCGTAACTTCACATTTTTATGGTGTAACTGAGGAAGAATGTTGTCTCCAGCTTGCTAAACTCATAGAGACTGCATTTCTTAATCATTTTCAAGGTGATATTCTACCAGAACACATTCATAATTATTACATTTGCAAGTTGAGAAATTGTACAGATATAAGCGAGGAAGACAAAACGAAAATGAAGAAGGATAACAAATTCCAGCATAAATGGTTAACAGACGTCGACATTGCATACTGCAAAGAAACCGGAATCTGGTGTTTATGTTACATTGACAACAGAGGAATGTTCTGTGGGCTTTGCAGGATTCACAATACATGTCAACCATCTAACAATTCCAAAGTCTAGAATACAGAGGCCAACACCCGATGCAGGACAGGAACTGTGAAAGGTCATTTACTCCAAGCAAGTAAAGGAAGCACTACTCTGCATGGTAAAATAGCTGCATCATTGGAGAAATCAAAATACAGCTCTTACTTTGTGACTACACAAAAAGAAAGAGAAAATTACATCAACAGCAGTTATTTGGCAGTTTTCAAAGCCTTATACTGGCTGGCCAAAGAAGAAGTGGCTAATGCAAAAACTGTTTCATTACTTGGCTTATTGGAGGAGCTTGGGGTGAAAGAAGTTGGTGCATTTACAACACGCTCAGAATCAGTCTTAAGAAAAATGGTCATACTTATTGCCAATACCATTACAGAAAAAATCGTCAACAAGATTAAGAAATCTGAAGCTTTCGGACTTTTAACTGATGAAGTCACAGACATATCAAACGTGCAACAGCTAGTGTCATTTATTCAGTTTTTTGATGACGAAATTGGTGATTGTGTAACCAAGTTTATTGAAACAGCAGATCTTCTGGAGAGTTCACCAAATTCATCTCCAGATGCTGATGCTATCTTTTCCTGCCTGGTTAAACTCTTGCAAAAGCATGGTTTAGATCTAAATGAATTGAAAGGCTTTGGAAGCGATGGAGCAAGCGTAATGACAGGAAGGAACAGAGGCGTAGCTGCAAAATTCAAGAGTTTGGAAGAATGCAAAACCATGATAAATATTCATTGTGTATGTCACCGCTTGGCCCTTGCATGTGCAGATACTGATGATGAACTGAAGTTTATTCAAGATTTTGAGAAAACAGCTTTAGAGTTATGGTCTTTTTTCAAAAAGTCGCCAAAGAGACTTAAAATATATATTAAAGTAACATTGGGGGTGAGAAATTTCGATGCTATGTCAAAAAGGCAAAAAAAGAAGTTGGTGAGGAAGGTGAAAAAAGCTGTTAGAACGAGATGGTTGAGTCTAAATGCCTCTGTTGATTCGATAAGCCAGGAATATGTCGGGTTAGTCCATGCCCTGCGTTCGATGCAAGAAGATAGAAATTCTGGTTCCACTGCCAAAGGGCTCTTAAAGAAGATTGACTCGGTTCAATTTCTCGGGACTTTATATCTGTTGAAATTCGTCCTGCCACACTTATCAGCTTTAAGTCACACTATTCAAGCTTGAAATCTCAACTTCTGCAGGATCAGCCCAAGTATCCAGAGTACGAAGGGAAGAATAGATGAGATTGTGAACAAAAACAAAGTGATTAAGGAATTAGAAAAGGACTTGAAAGGCAGGCTTCAATTGTGCAACTTATCAATGGCAGATCAATCCAAGAAAATTATACAGGAACGGGTGAAGAAATATTCGAAGGCTATTTGCAAGAATATTGATGATCGTTTTCCGCCCGACTCTTTAGCGATCTTGGAATCATTTTCGGTCTTTGATGTAACCCAAGTGCCAGGTGACATCAACGCTCCAGATTTCAAAGTATATGGACAATCTGAGATTACTGCAATCAAGGAGCACTTTTACCGGGAACAACAAATAGGAAATGACTTCTTGGAACAATGGAAAGATATGAAATATGAACTTCTCCAATTGAAAACCAAGTGGCTGCAATTTAAAGATAATGTTGAATCAAATAATATGAAGATAAAATTTTCCCCAACGGAATGGGTTCTTAGGAAAATTGTCAAAGATTATCAACACGATGAACAGTTCGCACTTGTCTACCGAGTAGCAAAGGTAGCTTTAGTGACCCCAGTAACTAATGCATGGCCAGAGCGGGGAGCAAGTGCTGTGAAGAGAATTAAGACAAGGTCCAGAAGCAGCATGAAAAGTGACTTGCTGAATGCTTTACTTATGATTTCCATCAATGGACCTGCATTGAAAACGAAAGAATACCAAGAGTTAATGGAGGAAGTTGCTGTAAGGAATGCAAATGAAAAGCACAGAATGTGTCCTCGCAGTTTCATCAGTGTTGTCCAAAAGAAAAGCTTATCCTCAAGTACACAAACTGTAGACATCGATGAACTATCAGAAATTGAAAACGCGCAGAAGATTGATAAACATTTACAAGAGAGTTTGAAAAACAAAGAAGCTTGGATTACAGACGCTTTTTTTGAGAGTGATGAGTCCGATGGCGATGACAGTGATGATGATGACGACGAAGAAGAAATTGAAGATCATGAAGACAGCGATGTCACAGATACTGACAGTGAAAATTATGCTGATTAAGTGATTATATTTATCTGTGTACAATGTCATGAACGCATAATAAAATTTTCTTTTATTTGTTGACGTTTCCGCTGTTTGTATACTTGCTCCGCTCATTAATAGCCGGCGCCTCACTAGAGCAGACTAGTATTAGCCATACCCAGAATTTTATTAGCCAGACCCTCAAACAGAAACCTGAAGGGCTGGTGGTATTGAACACGATGGCGATGATAAATTTGACTTGTTCGCATTTGTAGTGACTGTATTGGTATCGCTATATACCCACGTATTTCAACGCGCATGCAAACATAATTACTCAAAGAAAACGATAATGTACTTAAACAATGTATAAACTTTTATTTCTTTACAAATATCGTCGAATTATTAAGCCTTTTGAGCGGTAAAACACTGTGGTGTATTAAAACCAAAACCAAAACGTTGTTTACACGTTGTCGTCCTATTTACCGCGGGCTCGCCTCTTATCTCAGTCAGTACTTTATGTAAGTCTGTTATCGTATCGAAAGTTCTAATAACGTCTGAAATCATACCAACACACCGGGAGGATGGGGTCGATACGATACCGCTTTTAACAAAACAACATAATGTAAAATATACGTGTCCGTAATAATCCTAGTTCCATGTTTCCGTTTTTCAAACATCTTCCTTGTCTCCATCTTCTGTTTCCACGGGTACAAGTAGTGCCAAACGCTGAACGCTTCGAGAAACAGTAACAGCTTCACTGATTCCATAATCTTGCTGACGGTTTCCAACACGAAAGTTCTTGTACGTTACCAGAACTCGACGGACTTTTCCATCCTGATCAGGAAAGACTTCTTTAACAACTCCGAGACGGTATTCTCCTCGCATCACATTTTTGTCCGCGATCATAACGACGTCACCGGGACGTAAATTCCTTGTGTTGACATGCCATTTGCGACGGACAACTAGAGAGGGGGCGTATAGTTGTATCCACTTTTCCCAGAAATCTTCTACGGCTGTTTGCACCAGGCTGTATCTCGTCTTCGGACTCTGGCTGTACGTGAAAGGTTGCCATCCTCCAGGATTCTTGGCTGTCGAGCGTCCTAACAGAAGATTATTCGGAGTAAACACGTTTAGATCAGAATCGAGGGAAGGCAATGTTCCAATTGGCCTTTCGTTGAGTAGATTTGCAGCTTCAGAGCACACCGTCAGGAACTCGGGCACCGTAAGACGACGTTTACCAACCGCAAAGACAATCGCTCTCTTGGCTGCTTTCACAAGAGACTCCACTGCTCCTTGATGCCAAGGACTATCTGCTGATCCAAATTTCCACGTTAGACCATTTTGTAGACCACTCTTGTGTAACTCGCTTCGATCGATCTTATCCCAGGCTTCTTTAAGCTCTCTTTCTGCTCCGATTAACTGTGAACCAGGATCACTGTAAATGAATTCAGGCCATCCGCGAATACTTGCAAATCGGCTGAGCGCCAGGAGAAAGGAGCTTGTGTCGTAACCGTAAACTGCTTCAATATGAACCGCTCGGGACACCAAGTCGGTGAAAATGACCCCATACGCTTTTCCACTGGTACGTTTCTGGACTTCACCGCGAACAACATATGGACCGAATAAATCTACCATGGTGTAGGTGAACGGGGGTGCTGGTTTGAGTCGTGCTTCTGGCAACCGTCCCATTTCTTGTTCTCCCAATATTGCATTACGAAGCTTGCACAACTGACACTTGCTTTTGACTCGGTTCCTGTTTAACTCGCAAATTGGACTCGGTTCCTTTTAGCATGTTCAGGGGTTTGCCAGACTCCTCGGTATTGACTCCACGAGCCGTCTTTCGAGGACTTTCTTCTCCACTCAGCTGCCAGCATTTCACCGAGAACCCGCCTTTCGCAAGCATATTCTCTGCTTCTTCTGCGACTTTGAGGACACAACTTACGGTCGGACGCGAGTCAATCAGATCGTCCACATAGCTCGATTTCTTCAACAGCTCTGCTGCTTCAGGGCTGTCGTCTTTGAATCGGTCAGCTGTCTTGTAGATTGCTTCCGTACTTATGGCTGGCGCAGGGGTGTCACCCATATTGACTCGTTCCATCACATATACGTCAGGAGGTCGATCAAGTTCAAGTCCTCTCCAGAGAAATCGATGACAATGTTTCTCCAATTCTTTCAGGTAGACTGAATTGAACATCTTCCTAATGTCACCTACCAAAGCCACAGCTTCTTCTCGCCAACGCAACAGGATTCCGATCAGGTTATTCATATAACAATCAGGTCCTTTTGCTAGACATGAATTCAGAGACACTCCTTTGTAGACTTGACTGGAGTTAAACACGATGCGAACAGGCGTCGAATTTGACTTGGGGTTGAGCACAGCCAAGTGAGATATGTAGAAAATAGGACCTTTCCACTGTTGGATTTCCAAGGACGTGAGAGGACGTGCCACTTTGCGATGAACCATGTCATTCATTTGCTCTTTGTACGTATTTGCCCAAAGTTCATCCTTTTGAAGAGTACGCTCTGTCTTCTCCAGGGTTGCTAAGGCGACATTATAGTTATCAGGTAGGTTACGTGGATCCACGATCCAAGGATAACTGGTTATCCAACACTGGTTGGAATCATCATACTCTAGATTCTCACGAATAATTTTAAGTTCTTGCTCTTCTTTGAACGAGTACGTATGTCCAAGGATAGGACATTTACCACATTGACAACTGCCGCAACGAGGGCTTGTCTCGGTGCCAAGCTCTTCGCCTTCAATGAAATTTCCAACCTGACTTTCTTGTCGTTTTTCTCTCGCCAGATAAACACCACTTGTCATGTTGTAGGACGGCTGATCTGCTTCAGCTGAACAAGGGGGTGGTGACGGTGAACTGAGGTTGAACTGAGGGTGATCCTCGAGATGAAGTTGATATGTTTCCACTTTCACGTTAACTTCATGAATCACTTTCGCGAGATTTGAATCATGCTTAGTTCCTTCGACAAGTTCTGGGTGGGCACCTTGAAGACAGACGCCTAATTCTCCACTCATTATACTCAGATTATCTCCGCACCGAGCTTCTTCATGCTTAGGGTGCAATCCAAAGTAATCACATCCAAGAAGAACGTCAACATGGTTTGATTTTCTCTGGAGTGAGTCGGGATCATATTCCGGGAATAGACCCTTCAAAACTTCGCTGTTCAATTTGCTAACTGGGCCAGTAATTCTTTCCATTCCATATTAAAGCTGTGATGATTACCTTCTTACCCGAGTTTGTCTGCAAGGTGAATTCATACTGCTGGGTGTGGTACGTCTGTTCAACATTTCCCATGGTGGTTACGTCAAGGGTGATCTTTCCAAGTTTCTTGGCTTTTATTCTTTCAGCTGCCCAGTGGGTTATGTAGGTGGCATTTGATCCTCCATCACAGAAAACAGATACAGTTTTGTTGCTTCCACAGACTGCTGTTTGGTAGATGGGATACAGGGATAATGAATCCGATCGAGAAACGTGGGTTTCTTTCTGTGCGAAACCTGTACCCTTATTTTCTTCTGGACGCTTGGATTCACAGAGTAACTGATGATGTTGACCACTTCCACATGGACAGGGAACTTTCTTGGGACAGTCTAGCCTTCTATGGTTTCCAAAGCATTTGAAACAAGCATCAATTTGTTTTAAGAGTTCATACTTTCCTTCTTTCCCGCTAACCGGTAATTTCTGAAACTCTTTGCATTCTGATGTGGTATGACTGATACTGTCCTTTCTGTGAGATGGATAGGCACACTTGTAATACTTCTTGGAGGATTGCTTTCCTGCATGATAACCTTGTACATGTTGCTTTCTTCGCTCATTCATTTCTCCTTCCCTTTGGCTGGTACTCGGCTATTCGAGAGACTGCTTCTCGTTCGCCTTCGAGGAAATGCATTAAAGGGATGAAAGGGTGTATCTTTTCAGTGGCCGTGATGTCCCTATATCTTCTTCGCCATTCTACTTTCAAATAACATGGTAGCAGTTCGGTGATTAAATCAACATCTCTCAACGTCAAAACATTTAGGTTTCCCAACTCTTCCAATTGACTATACGCTGATTCTACTTCGTCTACAAGTTCTACCAAGCCTTTGTAATCATCTGTCGGTACGGCTTTAATCTTATGTAAATCTTCTAGTGCAGCTTGTACACTTGCACCAACATCTTCGTAGAAGCTTTCTAACTTCTGCCACATGACATTGTGTGCTTCCGGTTTGGTGACATAGACTGATCTTATTCGTCGACTTGCCTCACCCTTTACCGATCTTTTAAATTTATACGCATTAATTGCGTCTTCAGTTCTGTCCTGAAGCACATAATATGTATCTGAAGTTGATGGTAAGTGTGTCATTGCATTAGCTAGATGCCCACGTTCTATATTCCCATTGCATTTGCGAGAAAGTTCCCGCTGTGCAGTCACTACAGTCTTGTGAATAATTGTTGCTGTGAAATTGACATTTGAATTGGGACAAAGATGTGTAGCAATGTTGTTTATTCAAGTCGTAACTTTATTACCAACCAATTGTAGGCCTGACGTTGCGAGAAAGAAATAATTTTCGATTTGTGTTCTCTGTGATGAAGACGTTGTGAAGTTAGGGCGTAGATATCTGAGATAAAGACAGCCCATATCAAAGTCGGTTTTACTTCAAAGTAATGCTGCTGGTCCATTGCTAGATGTTTTATGTTGCCAGGTGTGTGTTACCATTAGAGAATACTCTTCACCGTTATCACGAATTTCGGCTCCACGGAATTCATCCACTGTGAGGTTTGCAATGGCGCCGGGTCGCTGTGTGTTTCTGAGTTGAAGTGATAAAATTAGGTAATCTCTGAATTCTATATAAATCTTTTCCGTGATAACAGAGTCGGCAGAGTCTGAGGTGGTTACCTTTGAAAAATCGCCGTCTGATCATGGCAACAGACTCCGGTCACCACAGCAGAGAGCAGTCATTGACATATCCATCAACCTGGTATAGAAGTGTAGCGACATTGCTCACTTCTTCCTTGGAATAAGTTTTTCTTCCGCCATCGAATGACGTCATGTAGTTTTTAAAGAGGCTAAATATTTTGTTTTTCTTTATTTTGCCTTCTAATTCCCCTTTTATGATTTATACAGAGACTGCTGTGCATTCGTTTCCGTTTTTCTCGAATAATATGCTTCAGCTCTGAATTCCCAGTGATCCGGGGCGGAGAGCACCGCCTAGAAGTAGCAGACAAAAGGAATATATGTAACTTTGTAGCGCAGAGGAACAAGCTACAATTCAGTTGCGTCTTATACAAAATGGAAGATATAGTGACAGTAGAAAATATAGACAAACAGGTTGCAGCTGTGGTCGAAGCAATTCTACTACTTGTGGAGAATGAGGTATGTATGAGGAGTGCCAAATGCAAAAAAAGAGGTGTTGTTATCCATTTCGCCCGTGGGAACTTTGTCAAAGCCTAACAGAAAACCCTTACATGTACAAAGAATTTCGTCCCATCCTTAACGCACCGGCAGACCCAGCAGCTTCGTGGAAGCCTAAACAGCGCGCACCACCAGTCAAAGCCGAAAACGAATGGCCGGACAGTCAAGATAATGATTTGTTCTTCTTTCGCATGGTCAAGTGTCCGTTGCGCATGGAAACTCTCTGTTTTCGGGCGAAAAGCACCATACCAAACGCTGGATATGGCTTGTTCCTGAAACGGCACAAGCTTGTCGAACGAGGAACTCATCTTTGCTTGTATTCTGAACAACCGCTCACACCGGACGAATTGGCACAGTCTCAGAGCTCGAACATGTACATGCTGGAAACAAGTAAAGGCATGTACGATGCTGAAGATGTGACCGGCAATAACCTTGGTAGATATGCAAACCAACCAAATGTCCTCCCTGCTCTACGACGCATCAAAGAAATGTCGACGAAACCTCGGCCGAGTATGAATGAAAACGACTGGAAAGCAATCGAAGCTCAGATAGATTCCGCTTGCAATGCTGAGTACAAAGTTGTCAGAAAACAGCTTGTCGTTGTCGCTAAGATTGACCTGCAAGAAAGTGTCAACTCGGAAGAAATCTTTACCAACTACGGAAGCATGAGGAATTATTGGATAGCGGCAGAGCGAGAGAAACCAGGTTGCTTTGGTCGTGAAATATCTAGCATTGTCAGACTTCTCCTTAACTCTCCCGATTGTAACTGGAGGCGCAACGTGCCACCTGGGGAAGCAAATGAAAAATTTTCTTTGAAACATTTCATGCAGTTCTAAGTGCGCAGTCATATACTTTTCCCAACCATGCTTTGCAACTGTTGGCTCTGTTGATTAATTGACATTCTCACAATTTGCAAGTTTTTTTGCAAATTAACTTTTTACTGGATTGCAGTTATAAATTTGAAGTAAAACGAGACATTTTTAGTGTGGGTTAATTATTACCATGCTTTCCAACTGTTGGCTCTGTTGATCAATTGACATTCTCACAATTTCCAAGTTTTTTTGCAAGTGAACTTTTTACTGGATTCCAGTTATAAATTTGCAGTGAAACGAGACATTTTCAGTGTGGGTTAATTATCACCATGCTTTCCAACTGTTGGAAAGCATGGTGACATTCTCATTCTGTAAGTTGTTTTTTTAATGAGCTTTGAAATTCAAATACTTTTTTAAGAAATGGAAGCTTTCTGATTTGGACATGAATTTCTGGACATGCAATAATTATTTGTTGAAAAACAAAGACTATCCGACTTGAATAAAACAATACGTAAAGAATTTTTTAAGTTTTTAAAAACTTACTTCTAACACCTGTTGCTGTGGCAACAATGACATTTCAATATGGTGGATAAGTTGGGTTTAAAGTAATGTAACTCGAAAATAAAGTTGGTGACCCCCATTTTATTTTCTATAGCATAATGACCTTTCAGAATCATTTTCATTATTTAAAAAAATATGTCATGCCAAAGTTTTTCAAGATTGGAAAATGTAATAATTCGTAATAATTTTCTTTCGCATTACAGAATTTTTTAAAATCATAAAAATGATTCAAAATACTAATAATAAACGACTTCTTTTTATGAAATAAAAATGGGGTTAACCGACCTTATCTTCAAGTTAAATTACTTTAAACCCAAAATGTCAGCCATATTGGATTGTAAATGTTGCCATAACAATGGTAGTTACGATTCCTTTTGGTGGAAAAATACAACTCTCTAGTTATTATTTGGCTAGTCAGACTTTCTTTGTCTTTTAACAAATAGGAACTTTTGAAAAATTGGGTCTAAATCGGAGATCTTCCATTTTCTGGTAAACTGTAGGGAGCCACCTTAAGTTAAGTAGTGTTTTAGTTTTTGTAAATATGAACACAAAAGAAGCTGAACAAAGAGTTCATATGTTGACACTTATTATATCAGTTGACATTACACATAGATAACAATACAAGTTGTAATCAGTGTAATTATGAACACAATATTATACCATTGGCATTCCAAGTTATTGTCTGTTTTTACTTATGCAATATTTTTGCCATTAACACTGCTTAAGTGACAATGTGCCCTACTTTATCTTTTACTTTATCTATAATGCCAGACTATTCTACTGATGAAGGGGAAATTGCTGCCATTTAATCACTCAAAGATCAAATGTTGTACAAGGCCTGAAACAGAATTTAGCCAATTGAGTGCCAGCGCTCTCCCCTTGACAAGTAAAATCATCTGGCATTAGAGAACAAAATAATAACGTAGGCTGATGTAGGACACCGAATGCAACTTGATGGTATAGGGGATAAACACGATAAAACGGTGAGTACTCGCATAGTATGGTACGACACTAACCCTCCAGCTACACTCTGAGTGTAAGTGAGCTTTCAGAATACAAGTGTATGAAAACATAAAAATAGTGGGCTGCCGTCCCCCCAAACAAAGTTTGTAGTTTTTAAGAGTTTCTTTAGTTAGTCGTCTTCAATGTCAAACTCCGCCGCCTCGTGATCATCATCATCATCTGAAGCTAAATTAATATATTATGTTGTTGGCGTGCATTACATGATTAAGTTCCTGTCATGATTTCGATTCAGGTTAAAGGTTTTCAAATTTAACGGCCAGTGAATTCTGGCACAAGATTTTAAAATGCTTCGTCCACGGCTGGTGGGCCTTGTGGTTGCAATTATCCACTGCAGCCTTGTTGCAGTTCCGCCAGTTGGTTGAATTATTTTTGTATTAATAATAATAACACTTTGAAACACTAAATACTCAGTAGAATCTTTTGTTCCAATGCAAATTATTTCTATATTTATGCAACAGAGCATGCACATACATAAATGTATATGCTATACATATATACATACATATGGAATATGACATGTAATTGGAATAGCAGAACTACCATAACTGGAGTCAATGTCTAAGCGCATTTTACAACGCAAACATACGCTTTACTGTCGAAAACACAGTCACAGACCATTGGTAGTAAGCTGCTATACATTATTGAACTATTAATACATGTTATGATGTAAACTTGTGTAATTTTTTTGTAAACATTTTCTTTCAAATCTCAACGTTGTTACAGTGTAACTTACTATTGTGGGATTTGCGTTTACCCCGCCATTTACGTCACGAAATGTATTCATGCATAAATTAGCATACGCAGAATTTTCCCAAGATGGCGGACGACTGTTAAAATTTGTTAAACATTTTCGCAAATTATCTGAAGAACTAAATGCAATGGACAAACAAAAATGTGAAATTAAGTATTCCATTAGTAAGCTTAATAAATACAGACAATAAAAAAATTTGTTGCCATTGTCCTTTAAGGTACGAGAATTGTCTCTGCTCGATTCGCGCAAATTCTGCAAATATTGTCGCGGATTCGTTCGATTTAATCCATTTACAACAAGTAGTTTGTGAATTTCCCTTAATCGAGAATGAAATGCAAGCATATTTGATTTGTGAAATATGATAAATACCACACAGCACATTGTCTGTGACATGCTGATTAATCGTTTGATTAATTGCTTTTTGCTTACGGCGTATTTCAAAATCCTTGTTCTTAGCTTGATTTTTCTGTTGTCGCTTTGTGACGTTTTCTTTGCGTGAGCAACCAGTAGTATATATTCACTTATTATTATGCTGTAAATGATAGTCAAAGTAAGCACAGGGAATAAGCCATGTTTTGGTGAGGAAAACTATAGGCAATGAAAAGCAAACATTGCGTCAAAGCAGGACTGTTACGGTTTAGCCACGATTAATCATGTGCACATGTGATAAATGTTAATTACATGACAAACACAAAAATGCTTCACGACTGAAAACATGCTCATAGGGGACTGGAAACTAGTGAATATATTTGCCTAATTGACTCGCGTCTGAATTAGATAAACACAATGTGACATCATCATGTGACATCATAAAACAGCGAGGGATTTCCTTCCCAACTGGTCGAAATTTTCATTATTCTCAATGTAATATGTGTAATATATACAGCCAATTTACAGGATGTTCCTTTCCTACCCAACATTGCAATATTGCTAAGCAATATTGCAATGTTGATTGGCTAGTTGCTTCGAGCAAGTTGGTATCCTTACTTCCGCTAATTTACAGCGGTAAAACGTGTTTGCTTGCTAAGCAAAATATAGCAAATATTCTGTGCAAATATCGTGCTATTAATATGTATCAACTTGTTGTGTCATATCTAGACAACCGTTACGGTTGGGTTTTTTTTCTGATGAAGCTATTCTTGATTATGAAGATTTACTCGATAGAATAAAAATGGCTGTACCGTATATACAAAGTATTCCAAGCGAACACATTCGTATTGCGTACAAAGATGTCACACTTTCGTCTGGTGCGGGGCAAAATGAAGGTGTGTTCATAAATATTTTGCCTGGAAACCCAATGGTTCTCGGAGAAGCATTTAGAAATGTTTATGATTGTGGTGCCGAATCGTTCAAAAGGATTGAAATTAAATTGTGTGAGGTAGATTTTCCGTATGTTGCGAAAATGAAAAAGCAAAACACAAACACGACAGCAGCTTCGCGGTAGAACACAACAGAACAGCAGAGTAGTAAAGAACTGTTTCCGGAGACAAAGCAGGATTGGAAGATAAGTAAGTTGGAAGACATGAGCGATCATGCTCAACAATTACAAGACGAATTAGTTGCCGTAGATATTCAGCTAGAAGAACTAAGACGACTCGTTATTGAGCCTCCCCAACTTGGACAGTACAAATCTATTGTCTGTGACAAATGTCATATTCGTGGCCACTGAGCTGAAGGTAACAGACATAATGCAGCATGTATGAGAGAAGTTTGTACTTCGTATTATACTTGCGGACAAAATAAGAAGCATCCTGAACATTTTGAGCAAATAAGGAACCTAACCAAAAAACGAAAGCAATTAAATTCGGAAGTCAAGATATTAAGCATCAACAAAAGAAATTTAGAAGCCTTTCAGTCAAAGTCTGTGTCCGCTTTTGTTACGACAATAACTCCTCGTCTTTTAAAGACCGGTACAACACAACAACTACATCTGGAAAAATATTACTTCAGAAAGATCTTGCTACTCTAAGGATCGTGTGTAACAATAAAATACCCATCCCTTCAATGGACGAAAGGGAATATTTTACAGAACTTCTTGGGAATCAGCAAAAGCAAGTTACTGCAAGTGATTTAAACTTCGACGCTCGTGCGGCAAGTACTTCTCAAATCAACATTAACAGTCACATTTCTTCGCCAGTAAGTAAGAAAGCAAAGCGTCATAAAACGAAAACAGTAGCAATGCCAGTGGAAATCTCGTCTTCGGACGACCATTCTACTGACAGTTCTGATACCAGCAGCGACGACAGCGAATCATTCGACGAAGGAAAGCGATCAAAATCTCAGCGCACAAAAAACATCACCGTAAATATAAAAGACATGACCATTGGAGCAAGAAAAAGCGTAGTTATCGGTTGCAAAAAGTAAGTAACGAGTACACCGGTAATGAAAATTTTAAAATAGACAATAGTCAAGAAAAACAAACCGTGTCTATAAATCAATCAACTAATAACCGTAGATTATTGCCATATTCAAATATTTTGCAAGGGGCTAGACCTTCGGATTCTGGAATCTTTGAAATTGGCGAGTCAAACTCGCACCAGCTTGAGTACGGTGCATCAACGAAGAAAGACAGGCAATAACAAAACTTTGTTACCGATTATAGCACTTCGACTTTAGACGATTTAGCAAATGCTGGAGAGCAAATCGACAATCGTACTCGTTTTACTATAGATTAATTTCGCATGTTTAATAGCGTAATTCGTTATTTAGTACTAGTGTTGACATTGTGTTACTAGTATTGTGCTATATAGTATATACTAGAACTATACTGAGTATATAGTATCCATAGTATTTATTGACATTGTTTTGCGTTAGGCCTATATGCATGCCTTATAATTGGCAATGTGTAATGCATGTTGACATTGTTGTGTTTGTATTTTCCATAGCAGAAAGTAAATCGTTTCAAAATTTGTTTTGCTGATGTTATGTCTGATTTTACACCCCAGGTTTTCTCAAGGCAACCCGAGGTAAATTAGTCTGCGAACCCAGACTACTTCCCACAATGAGCGTGAGAAATGACGTCTGGGTTCGCAGACTAGGGGTATATATTTAAATCAGACATATTTTCATTCGCTGGCCATGGGATCAATGGGCGTAGCCACGCATGTAACGGAACAATCATGGATTACATTCAAAATAGATTATTTTGTGACAAAAAATACAAAAATTCGCATCCAAATGGAACCCAATCGAAAGAAGCAGGTATAGTACAGATGTAAATTTCAAGTGGAATTTGCAAAATACTTACAACTCGTTCAAGACCAACACCAAAAATTAACAACGCTTAAGCACATTATAATAACGTTATTTCTATATTATAACGTAGTTTAGATATATGATAGACAGAGTTTAATTAGCTATCGAGTATCATATATGTTTAAACTAAAAATCCACAGTGCCTGAAAAAGTTTGTGCACATGTTTGGAGTGATAACTTCTAAAGCGCGAAGAATTGCAAATTCAGTGAAGTTTAAAGCAAAAGTTTCATGCTTTCTGAGAAACGACTTAGGGACCGGTCATTATTTATGGTGGGGGGTGGCACCGAAGAGAAAAGGGTTGGGTAAACTAAATTTTGAGTAAGTAAAAGGTTGGGTAAATGAAAACAAAAACAACTCAAGGGTTGGGTAATAAAAAATTATTGTCATTTCCAAAGCATGACTCACTGAAGTATTGGGGACTAAAAAGCAATGGCAACAGTGGGCCCTACTCTGGGGCAATAACGAGATAATGCGAGTTTAAGCAATTTTAGGTGATTTAAGCAAAATCTGCAATATAAGCAATGCAAGTTTGAGCGATATAGGGTAATGTAAAAAAAACAATTAAAATTTTAGGGAATGCTGTTTTAGGTGTTTAGAGGTAATTTCAGGAATATACAACTATATCCCTGATGACTCCAATGAAATTACCATTAACCTATGCCAAGCATCCAAACATGAGTGTTCCCACAAACACACACACATGCAGTGTATGAAGCAAAATATACAATTTAACAAAAAAAGTTGAAGTCTGCTTGAGGGGGTTACAAACAATGTACACTGTATGCGCATGACGATCAAGTGTTTAAAGGATAAATAAGCTCAATATTCATGACTTTTTTCATCCATTGTCTATTTCGAAGCCATTGGCGTATTATTAAATTCATGACACAACTATAATAAATGACCACATGTTCACATCATATGCAATTTCAAACAATTTTCAAAGGAGTAGGGTACAGAATTGCAATATAACAACATATAAGTAAATTATACATGTCATGAACTTACCAGTTTGTGTTGAGTTAAATTTAAAATTTTTTATGACATCAAATATTATTTATTTATTTGCAAATCAAAACATTTTAAAATTCTCGTTTTGTTTTGTTTTGTATTGCGCCCGCGATATATTAATGGTGTTAACCGCTGTGAATATGATATACATTTTTGTTTCGTTCCCCGCAGGATCGAAACGGTACTGTATTTGGTTTCGAGCAATTTCACAGGAAAGTGACGCCAGAGATCAAAGTTATCCAATCCTTTGCCAGTATTCTTGCTGAAACGTCAATTACATTTAGAATCGTCCAATGAGATGACCGCTCCTAGCATAAGAAGTTTTTTGGAGGCGTGGCGTATAATCGGAAATC